GGGACCTGGGGGTCCTGGTGGACAGGAAGCTCAATATGAGTGAACAGCATGCTGCTGCAGCCAAGAAGGCCAATAGGATGCTGGGCTGCATCAAAAAGGGCATCACCAGCAGAGATAAAGAAGTCACTATCCCACTCTACTCGGCGCTTGTCAGGCCACACCTGGAATACTGTGTACAGTTCTGGTCCCCATTATACCAAAAAGGATGTGGTCAGGCTGGAGGGGGTCCAGAGAAGGGCCACCAAGATGATCAAGGGCCTGGGAAGCCTGCCGTAGGAGGATAGGCTGAGAGAGCTGGGTTTGTTCAGCCTTGAGAAAAGGAGGCTTAGAGGTGATCTCATCACCATGTACCAGTATTTAAAGAGGAGCTACAAAGAAGATGGAGACTCCCTTTTTACAAGGAGTCACACAATGACGACAAGGGGTAACGGGTACAAGTTACTCCCAGGGAGATTCCGATTGGACACGAGAGGTAAATTTTTCACAATGAGAACAGTCAATCGTTGGAATAATCTCCCCGGGGCGGTGATCTGCTCGGCTCCGCTACGCTGGTTTAAGACTCAGCTGGACATGGTGCTGGGCCATCTCGTCTAGATTGTGCTAGGAAGGTTGGACCAGATGATCCTCGAGGTCCCTTCCAACCTGGTATTCTGTGATTATCTGATTATCTGACTTGCATTGATATAGGTGAAAATTGATTAGCTAATTTAGGGAGTTTCGTTAGCTCCTGAATGCTTTGCAGGGGAAAATCTGCTTAGTTAGTTTAAACCAAATAAAGATTGAAGCCGTTTATCAATTTATTAACAAGACATAATTAACCACCAGTCAGTGAAAGACACATTCAGAATTAATATCAGTACTAGAATAGATACCATTTTATAAGTGCGTAGTGTTGTGGCTTAATAAACAAATTTCTAAACACTTTTCTGTAACTAATCCCAAGGAGTTTAAACAAGCATACGTGCACACACACGGTTACACGCAAACCGCGCCTCTGCTCCCAAGGACGCGGGGGTTACAAACCCACACCTCCTCCTGGAAGCGTGGGCCCCCTGCTTGTAGGCACTGCCGGTGGGAGATGTGGGTGCTCCGGCTCTGTGTGAACCTGCGGGTTCACAGGCCAATTAGAAAAGCATGCCACGAGTTCACGTGCATGCAGCCGATCGGGATGAGATATCGCTCCCTCTGCATTGCAGGATGCAGGCTACCAGGGAGGGTGCTCGGTCTTGGCCGAGACAGAGGGCGTGATGCTGGCGGGGTGACTTCTGGCAGTGTCAAACCAGGTTTGATGACTAGTATTTGGCTCCAAGGTGTCTACCTGACTTGTAACAAAATTCTCCTAGTGCTTTTCTACTTTCTCGGCTGACACCTTCTTTGTTTCAAAAGTCTCTTTGAAATTCCTTGGTTACACTTTAGTCTGGCCAATGTTGCTTTCCTTTTTAAGGTGATCTGTTGTGGGCACATGTCCTCAGACAGCTTTGTGTACGGTGCGTGCGTGCACCCGCGCCCTACTCCGGCCCATGTTCTCATCTTAACTGGCGTTGTTAGCGAAGCCCCTTGGCAAGGGGAGGGGGCTCTGCTGGTACCGCACGCTGAAGACCTCTTAAGACAAAACTTACCACCTCTGTTTGACTGGAATAAACTGAATTAGCAAAATACATTTTTGATCTTTCCCTTTTTTTTTCCCTATTCAAATTCTGCCTTTTTACCTTCTGCTCGTTAACATTGACTGTATCATGTGGTCTCAGCAATCTTTTCTATATAGGGGAGTTGTAGTAAAGTAGTTACATTAGTAGCGAACGTTTCTGCCCTCTGTATCATTAGCTTGTCTTCCTCTTTGAATAATAGACGTGCATTCTCTTCTCTCTCTCTGTTACTTGCTATGTGTTTATAAAACCTTTTTACATATTGGTGTCTATGGCCTTTTTTAGTTAAAACTCATTTTTGTATGTTAGCCTTAGATTTGTGCTCGTGCATCTTGTGTTGTTTATTTTTGCTTCATGTTAGTGTGCATCTGTCTCCATATTTCCTATTGCTTTTTGGTTTTCAGATCATTAAAGAACTCTTGATGAAGCCATATCAGGACCTTACCATGTTTCCTATCATTCTTCCACATCATGATGGTTTGTCATTGTGTCATTTAATGTTGTCTCCTAGAAACTGCTTTTCTTGGATTCCTACTTCCCTTCTTCCTTCTAGAATTCCTTACTGTAGGACCTTGCCTAATAATTCGGAGTCTCAATTTTTAAATAGCAGAGTTCAGCATTCTCCTTATTTGATATTCTCACATCCCTAGAGTCATTAATTGTAATTTCATCATCATGCTCACCTAATTGCCATACACAGACACATTTTCAACTGTAGTCTGTTACTCAAAATTGAAGGTAGTTGTTACTTTTTCCCTTCTCCTATAAGCTCCTTTCATTTAATGAAAAATGTATATCTGACTCATCACAAGAGTTTGCGGGATAGCCTGTGCCTTCCAGTGTAGCTTTTCAGACACTTTCTTGGATGGCACAAGATCCCTTGTTAACACCAACACCCATCTTTGGACGCTTCTGTATCACTTCACTATCAATAAGTACCATATGTGATGGCACTGAGCGTAGGTTAGCACTGAGGGGTTAAATCAAGAGCGGTGAATAGCTGTAAGTATTTTCCGTAAGTCATAATATAGTGGTGACATTGTTAAATAATAGTAAACTGCAGTTGCATTGCAAATTATGTGTCGGAGATGAAACTGCTAAAAGTATAAATGTATAAATGATAACTGGGAAGATTGTTGGTGATCTGTGTCTCGTTATTTATCTTGAATTGTCTTTGACTTGCTAGAGTGTGCTATGAGCGAGCCACCTTCAGCCCAACGATCCAAACCTTCATCCTCTCTGCCATTTGGCATGGGGTTTACCCAGGATATTATTTAACGTTTTTAACAGGAATACTAATGACACTAGCAGCACGAGCTGTAAGTACCGACCAAGTATCTTCTTAAATAATAAGTAGTTCTGTAAAAGAAAATTGATTGTGTTCTGTAGTCCAAAGATGTGATTTCCAGTTGACACGCAAACACTCTGGCTGATAGTTTTGTTTACTTTTTTTAGTTATGAGAGCAGTGGGAATGGTTATTGATAAGGAGGGGTTGGTCAGTAGAAACAAGCAAGACTGTACACAGCCTGGAACATCTTCGTAGCGTATCTTTTGCGGAAGCCCTTCCTCTGTATTAACTGATCATGTGTTACGCCATGCTAAACAAGATGATGTTATCTAAGATCATTTTGAAAAATCTTTATCACTGATTATCAGTAGCTTAAATTTGGGGGGGTCAGTGCTATATATTTATCCAGTTTGTCCCCCTCCCTAATTTCTGTCCAGTACTATTGTAAAGATGGTAACTAAAGAATGCTCCACCTCAACCAGCAGATAAACATCTCTATTACTACTCAGAATCGGCCAGCCTGTGGTGCAGTCACATTAACAAGCTTTTACAGCTGCTGTTCAGAACCGTATGGAACCAGCAAATCTGCCAAGAAATCTCCCAGTCCTGCTTGAGAAAGCTGAGTAAGAACGAGGCAGGTTTTTCAGTTACTCAAGGGGAAAGAGGAACAAAAAAAATGAGCTGTCAGCTTGGAGCAGAATAACAGACAGCTTTTCTGTCGAAGGAACCAGGAGAATGAGAAATGAAGCAGACTGCTCTCTGCTGTAACAGCTAGGGGAAGGTGGTACTTCAGACTTAGGTTATTACTAACAGTAATAAACCAGATGCTCCTCCTCTTTCTTCACAAAGATGTGGGTGTAGTCCTTGTTTGACAGAATTGACTCCTTTCTTTACAATAGGTATAGCTCCCTTCTCCTTTCCAGACTCTATCACAGTGAACTTTTGACATTTATCAGCCAGGGGCTGGTGCAAAAGCCAAGGTTCAGGGACAGTTCACAGGTAAAAGTTGTTGTGTTCTCTCAGTAAGGCGAGTCCGGTAAATCTGAGTGCTCGCTGCACTTCATCCTGGGCTTCGCTGGTGAGCTGCGTTGTATTCACATTGCATTTGTATCAATTAATAGGCTATTAAATAAAAATATTATTGGTTTCTGTATGAAGTTACTTAACGTTAACTGATAAGATATGTTAGAGGTACTTTAGCATGTTTATTATTTAACTCTATTAGCCTTTATTAAGACTGCAGTTTGGCAGCGCTGACCCACGCTTTCTTCTCCTGTCATGCCTAAGCATGTATTCAACTAGTTTTCCTCCCTTTAATCATCACACGCTTCATAATCAGGTGTTTACTAGGGGCAATTATAGACTTACCTTAAAAGTTGTCCTTCAAGTCCTAAAATACTAGATTTCTCTACCAGAAATTCTGTGAAACTTCAAGTTTTACAGAACTCGGGAACAAGTCATTGCACGTGACCACAGGAGAAAACTGGAGGGAGATGGCAGACGGTGGGACAAGGGGTATGTGGCTAGAATGACTCGTTTTACTTAGCTTAACTAAGCAAAGGTGGAGTGGGGATGTGATACCTACAGGGCGATATAGGTAAGAAGGACAAGAAGGGTAAAGAAGGTTTTTAATGTAAAGAATGACATCAGCACAAGCTAGCCTTCCGTATGTTCATTAGAACCAGGATTTAAACTGTCCTTTGGCGTGCAGCTTGTCAGAGAGGACTACCTCAGGTGGCAGCTGTGGTACGAGGCTACACAGCTGTCCTGGTGGAGCGGGTCCAGAGGAGGGCCGCAAGAATGATCAGAGGGCTGGAACACCTCTCCTGTGAGGACAGGCTGAAAGAGCTGGGGTTGCTCAGCCTGGAGAAAAGAAGGCTGCGGGGAGACCTTATTGTGGCCTTTCCGTACCTAAAGGGGGCTTATAAGAAAGATGGGGACAGACATTTAGCAGGGCCAGTAGCAACAGGACAAGGGGTAATGGTTTTAAACTAAAAGAGGGTAGATTCAGACTAGACATGAGGAAGAAGTTTTTTACAATGAGGGAGGTGAAACATGGGCACAGGTTGCCCAGAGAGGTGGTAGATGCCCCATCCTTGGAAACACTCAAGGCCAGGCTGGACGGGGCTCTGAGCAACCTGATCTGGTTGTAGATGTCCCTGCCCATTGCAGGGGGGATGGACTAGATGACCTTTAAAGGTCTCCTCCATCCCAAAGCATTTTATGATTCTGTGAAAGGCTGAATTGAGCCCGTTGTGGCTTGTCAGCAAATGAGAGTGTGAGCAAGGATGAGAGTTCAGTCAAAGGAAGGAGGGGTGAAGATTTACTGGTGTCTTTATAATTAAAGACTTTAAAACTGAACCCAAACCTGTGTGGGTTTTGGATTTTTTTTTAAATACCTTTGGTATTCCATTGTTTGAACAGAATTTTACGAACAAAAGGCTCAGCATAGAAAATTGAGTCCTTTGATAATAGTCCCGCTTGATATTAGTTGTTGTTAAGACTCCTGAAATATGTCATTGGAACTGATATTTTGTATATTCTGATTTATACCCTACTTGTCCTAAAATAGATCTTACTAGCAAGTATGTGAAAATGGCTTACCATATAGAAGCTTTCAACAGAAGCATTCTGGCTTTTGTTTACGCCAATGCTCTATATCTACAGAATGGCTTGATGGAATAGAATGGCTGCCTCATTCAGACAAGTAGTCAAAAGTCGCATTGGATTTATGGGGGGGTTCATTTCCTTAAATTCTGCTTAAATTCATAAATACTTAAATTCCCGTGCTGGATGAAGCGCACTATCCTAAAAGGCAGGGAATTTGAACTGACTCCTATTTGAAGTTGATGGGTATTTTGAATAGTTCAAAGATACTTGACCAAACTGTAGCATTTAAATTCATCCTATGAATTTTGTGCAAGTGCAACAAACTCTGTGCAGCAAGATAGCTCTCAAAGGTTATTCCTAAGCTAACTTACTATTATCTGCTTTTTCAGATAAGAAACAATATCAGACACTATTTTGTTGAATCTCCTGCTGTTAAACTATGTTATGATATTATAACATGGATGGCAACTCAAGTAGCAATAAGTTACACAGTCGTGCCATTTGTACTGCTCTCTGTAAAACCCTCTTTCACCTTTTACAGGTAAGCACATTCTACCTGTTCTCTTTTTCTTTAACTCGGAATAGAAGTATTTTCTGTGGCGTAAGACTTCTGAAGCTATTTTAGTGATAATTATAAGACTTATTTGTTAGCTGAGCAAACTGTATTTCTGTTCTAGTGCTCAAACATGGTTTGTGTTGTATATGAGAAACCATAAAGTGATCTCCTTTTCCTATCACAATAGACTTATTTTTCCTCGGGCAGGAAAAAAAAAACCAACCAAAACCAGAGGGTACCTTTGAGATTACTACATGCATTTGGACTGGTTATAAAACAGTTATAAAACAGCAAGACTAGATAATGACTTCCCCAAAGTAACTTTTGTGAAAAATAGTTGAAAGCAGACTTCTCTTCCCTTCACATCTCTTACGGCACTAAGTACTGGGGCGAAGACTTCATTTCTGATTTCCCCCTTATTACTTTTCCTAAAAAGGAAATATGAATGTCTTCCTGACTTAATGTCTTATGTGCAAAGTACTGTATGCAAGTAGGTTTTGACAGTTTATTCCTTAAGCATCCTGTAAGAGTGGTCAGAGTTTTATTGAACTATTATTTTTGTTTGTTTTTTAGCTCCTGCTATTTCTGTCTTCATATTGCCAGCATCCTGGTGTTGTTGGTATTTCCATTGAAAAGAACTCAAAAAGGAAGTAAAAAGCATGAAAGCATCCAGCCCGTGTGGTCCAAAAAACTAGAAGAAGAAAATCTTTTGCAAAAGAACAGTTATTCCACAACAAATAATAGTTTCAGTCAGAAACAAGAAATAACCTGCAGATATCAAGCATTAAAACAGTGATTAAGGAAATACTATGATGAATATATTTTGTATGTTTTCAGAAACCCATTTTTAGCACCTTTTAAAGGGGTTTGTATTTGTTTGCAAAGATGTTTAGTAAGAAAAGAATGCATTACCTAGGAAAATCACATACAATAGCAAGACTGGAAACAAAACAAATTAACCCCTCCCATACCATGTCCCTGTGGGTCACGCCTTATATGAAGATATTACCATTATTTCAATGGGCACTCAGGACTTGCAACGTATGTCCATAGGGTCATATGTGTGCCCTTTGCTGAATGTACGTTGTGTATCCCAAGGCACTGATGGGGTGGAATGAAATTGTGTCAATCTAGGATTAACACATGGAAATTAATTTTTCCAAATGAATGACTTGCCTTAAACCCTCTATTTACTGAAATATTGTTTCTAAGTGGGTGTTTTCAAGTTTGATTTTATGTGGAAAGCATATTTCAAATATATAATACCATATGCTATAAAGAAGATACAAATAGGAAATGCAAAGTCATTAGAAGGCTTTTGAATCTTTAAAAGGGAATTGCAATAAGCATCTCAGTATTTGGAGGGTTTTCTTAAAGTATCTCAAACTATTACAGTACATTACAGAACTGTAAACATTACTGATGCCAAATTATAGTTAGGTTTCTTTGATAAAGAGTATAATTACACATAGCCCTTCTGAATGGATTAAAAAAAATAAGACACCAGAAGATTCACTTTTCCAGGGCTTGATAGCTCTAATCTAGGTTTCTTTTACTTTAAAGTACCTAAAATCAATAAAAAACCCACAGCCAAGTGGGCTTTGCAGCTGGAGAAGGAAAGGCAGCCATAGGACACAGAAGATGATGTGCAAGCACCAGGATTTCAATGAAAGTGTGTTTTTACCCTTAAATACCAGAAATACTTGTTCTAGAACAGAACTGTTTTACAAAAAATGAGTTTTTGATACTGAAAGTTGTTTTGAATTTTCAGGCATACAGTAGTTAGTTGATGATGCTTTCAGTATAAAACAGCAAAATTACCTTGGGCTGTAGTGCACAGGTAGTCAGACATGAAATTACTATCATAATCAATTTCTGTATGCTTGATCTTCTTTATCCAAAGAAGTATATGAATTTGAGGAAAAGCTTTTTCTTTAAATTAGAATTTTAGATGTGAAATTCACGTCATATTTGTGGGTAACGTAGTGAAAGAAAGAAATCCGTCTGACTGAATTATGTAAGTGTGTGAAGGGAATAATGCAGTGATTATATCTATTCCAGACCATTTGTTGTGATGGTGGTCCCTGCCAGAGTACTACTGTTAAAGGGCTACATTTTAATTGCTTACATTCTGTATTTTCTTACAATTTTTTTAAGTAAACACAAACTGTTTATCCACATGGGTTTTTTTAGCTTTGAAACTGACACAAAACACTACTGGAGAAAAATAATGCAGCTTGTTGATTAATAACCTACAAATGAATGAGAGAAATTTTGTCATAATATTTTGAACCTTACATTTTTGATCAAATACCTGGCACTAGTGGGGTGAATATTTTTAGTATCAGAAGTACCAGATAGTCCTTAGCTTTGGGGATACTCCCATGCAAAAATAGTCACAATGCTTCTGGCTTACTCTGTTAAAGAACCAGTTTTTTCCTTGCTGTGATAGTTCTGTGTCTGGCCTTTGCCTCCTTGCCCGAAACTCCAGGAGGATAAACATACCTTTTCCATGTATGTAGGTTAGCGCTGATTAACCTGCACAGTGAGAAAGGGGGAACTAAATACAAAATGAGACTGGATGAGTCTGTTTCGATGAGTAGGGATGCTCGTTTCAGTGACAGCTGTATTATCTTTAAAAGAAAATAATCTGATTTCTAAATCCTTACTTAGGTTACCCAAGTAGACCTGCCCTTACATGGGGCTGTGGTTGTTATAGGCCTCTTTGAAATGGCATTATGACTTTTTCTGTTGTTTATAAATAAGGGCGCGCTAGTTTCTTTATGTTTGATTATCCTTATTAGATACAGAATCAGGAAAGACATTTTTCCACTTTCTGTTCTTGAAGGGACATTTACATAAAATAACAAATAGAATTGCACATTTCTGGGTGGGTGAGTAGAGTTAAGCTTGATTCTTTCAGCATTTGTTGCTGTTGAACTTAAATTTATCTTCTTGGTGCAGTCTACATATCTACCCAAACTAAGCACTTTTGGATGCCAGTACAACTTCTGATGTGCCATTCTTCCCATTAATGTTCTGGTACTCGTTTTTTTGCTTTGGCATGCGTGCCCACGTTTGCAATGGAGGCTTACTAATTCTTCATTATGAAATATGAAAACAGTTGTAAGCACTCCCAGAAAATAAGCGGGTTTAGGATAGCAAAGGCTGGTACTTCAGTGTGAGTGAATTCAGTGGTACAGTTTTGTTCAGAACTTTTGTATATGGGGAAGTTCAAACAGCTAAGAAAATACGTACATGCTTTAGTCAGGCACAGGTGGCAAGATATGGGTTTCAGAATTGGACGTGTCTAGTGTCTGCGTGCAATACAATTACTTTTTCCTTCATGATCTGAATCCCTGAAATAACTGCAACACAAGAAGATTATGACAATTAATTAGTTCTGCACGGAATTTAAGTGTAGTGTCCTAGAATTTGCCCTTTAAATGTCATTGCTGAATATAAAAGTACTGTGAACCAAAATCTGCTCTTCATGCAAATGAATTATCCTGGGGACTATGGAAAGAGGTATTTTGTTTTAATGGCAGCACTCTGATTTTAGTCAAACTGGGGTTTCATTGTTGCTTTCCCTCTGCTTTACTAGTTTTTCTGCCTTGCTGTTGCACTGGATCCTTTTTATCCATTCAGTCCAAGTCAAGAGCAGCCAGCCCCAATGCTTTAGATAATTTCTAGCTTTTACACACACCATTTTATAATACTGAATTTGAAAGGATGGCGGTGATTTACTATTGCTCTTGCTGAGAAAAATAGTAGAAAGTAAATTTCGTAGAATGCTTTGGGCATGAAGGAAACATGTTTTTAAGTATTCTTTCACTTATTAACTAATGTATATCCAAAAGGTAAAAGTGTTTTCTGTATTGCAGATCAGCACACTATGAAAAGTAAATTACAACATATCATTCATAATTCTATGGTGCTTTGCAGATATTTGCCTATTGTGAACAATTCATTCAGGCACTTAATGAGTTAATGTTAGTTAGTAAATGTAGTCACCCTGATAGTAGCTATTTGCTTGCTTAACCTTTTTTTAACCTTTATGATTCTGTGTTAATGAAAGAGAAATATCTATTTAAATAATACTTTCAGTGGTTCCTACTACTGTTGTAATCGGGAAGGCTTTGTTAGCTTTACAGTTACAGATATGCCCTTCTTATTCAGGAAACTTATTCTTCCATGGCCATTCCTTAAGTTGACATGTAGACAAGATTTCAGTAATAGGTGACACTTTAATATATATTACCATGTAAAAATATCGGTATGTATTTCAATATGCTCTTGATAACAAATCATACGTTAGTGAGAAGACTTTACAAAGAGACTTTGTATATTCCCTGCTCTACGCTGACTTGTGGTATGAGTTTTACCAGTATAGTATATTCGTAGAATCATAGAACGGTTTGGGTTGGAGGGGACCTTAAAGATCGCTATTATTTATTAGAAGACTTGTACACTTCAATAACTTGTTCTGTTTCCCCTGTGGGAATAAGTAATATGAATATAAATGCTATGCTTGTATGACAGGATGCACACTAGGCGGTTGTGCCTCTATTGATGGCATTGATTTGATTAGTGGTAAAATCTCCTCTGATGCAGAGGAGACCTTTATGAGATCCTCACCTCCTGTCAAATTCGTATCAAAAGTAATTTCAACAGTCTGGATTTTTCTCTCGGAAGCTTTGCAAACAAATTGTTGACAATTTGTTTAGATACATGGTCAAATGTGTCCTTGTGTTTGCCTGCAAATGTGTCACTGTTGCTTACATGTAAACTTTCACATGCTCAACTTTATAAGTTGGCCTTGAATGATGAAGAAATTTAAAAGCACAAGTTACAGTAATTTAGGCTTTCATTTCCCTTATCCTTAAATCTTTCACTTTGTGATTCTCATTGAATTCTGAAATCAGGTTTGAGAACTTTTTGTTTTCAATGAAAATTTGGAAATATTGCCATTTATGTTGAAAAGTGAACAGTGTTAGAAAAACAGATGGAAATAAATTTAAAGATTTTAATATGATGCAGACTCTATGTATGCAAAATATACATTGGTTCTGTGCTGATACATCACAGTCCTTCATTACATGATTAGCCTTTATGTATTTATTTAGGTCCAGTAATGCTCTGAAGAGCACTTGGGAGTATTTTTAAATTTCCTGTTAAAAAATCAGTTGGCTGTAAGTATTTAAAGTTCAATGAGTATTTAAATGCTATGCTGAGCAAGTACCTAAGTAGGTACTGCAGTGAATTGAGCCTGTTCTCATTATATTACCAGATCTGTCTGGATCTAAGCTAGCTGGCACTGTCGGTCTTGATCCTCTTCACAGTCATGGTGGAAAAGCTGGCTGTGAAGAAGTCTCTGGTAAGAACATGCCCCGTCAGCGGCCGGGAAGGTTTGCCACAGAGCTCCTGGGGGGAGCTAACCCTATGTGCAGAGCTTGACAGAGAGTTTACTTGCTTGCCACCCAGGCTGCAGCTGCTCTATGCTAGATCTGCCTGGATTTTTGATGTGTTTGCTGTCTTAACCTAGACATCTTGCAAACAACGTGAAATCCAGGCATCCACAAAGTCACCCTGCAAGGTTACAACTGCAAATATTGCAACAGTTGCTTATTATGGTCAAAACTAAATGAAAAAAATAATTTCTTCAAAAACTCGGTTTGAGATGAGCTTTTTATTTTTAATAAAAATCTAACCATCAACTGTGACAATTTTCATCCCATTAAATATTTAAAACATAATTTTGCTCACTTCAGGTATACAAATGTGCAAAAGCAAGTTTTGCCACTTCATCTTCTGCGCATTAGCTGTGTGTCCAGTGACTTAGGCCTAGTTTTGGCTTTAGAGGTTTTTAGATTGTCTGAATCCATGTGCATATCCATATAAACATTGTGTAAACTTTATGAATTGACAAAATGTAGTTACATATAGTGTGCATAAATATACTTAAAATAGGCCATATCGGTATTTACATGAGAGCAGTGTTGAGCCCTGCTGTTGTACACTATGTCTGCTGAAGGCTGTTGGGCTCCGTTCTCAGAGTACTAAGCTTTCTGCTTCCTAAAGTGAAAATAGAGTCTGTTGGTTACACTTTAAGTGGAAAGTAAAGGGCTTCTTTCACTCTGTTGCAAAACCAACCCTCACAGGATATTCTGCTGCAGGCTATGAATACAAAATTCGACTTCAGATATGTAAGTGAAATCTGAGTTAGGGCCACTTTCAGAGGAAATTTTTATATTCATAGTGACTCAGTCCAGCACCTTATTCCAAACAAACCTCTTGGCAAAAGAGACCTCGGCACAATCTTCTTCCTTCCTTTCGTTCTCTGAGGGAGGAATACCCCAAGCTGGATTTTCATTTCGGCTTCACTACAATGTGTCATATGGACAGATAGCTGTGGTCCATGCTCTAGTCAGATTAGGCTTCCAAACTGTGATGACGTAGTCTGAAACAAAAAATAGAGAATCAGGGTGCCTAGAGACTGGTAATCAGAATAGTGCAACACTACATATTAAAGGTGCAACAATCTTTTTGTCACAATAAGTTAAGGAGTACTTGCCTACGCATAGTTTGCCTTTCTATGTGTTTATCAGTTCTCTCTACATCTTTTCTTTGTACCTTCTTTTGTCCCGTGGTGGTGACTATTTCTATGAAGAATCTTCTGATGTGTCTTACTGTGGCAAAGGTGTCAAAATGATACAATAGTAATTAGG